AAAAAAAATATAGACAACAAAGGTCCCAACTTCTACTCCATATGAGATTTGTGCCAGGATATTTTGGCAATTTAAAGTTCTATTAGAACAAAGTCCATTCAGGGAACTTGTACTTAGCTGAATACAGCCTGATCAATTTCAGTTCCTGGGGTTTAGTCTCCCTCTTAGATGGCTGCGTTATTTCAACAACAATCTTCCAGACTCAGGTTTCACCTGAAATCATTCTGTAAGAAATCCACCTCCAAATACATTCCTCGGAGGAACCTTATTGTCTTTTAACTCGCACTGGCAGACTTTGGGTGCGATTTTATAAGGTGAGCAGAATTAAAAGGGCATAAAACAAACATGAATAAACAAAGAACCAAGCATTTAGATTAACAGACTACTGCACGCACATGCTGCTGCTGGGGCTTTCCTGGGACAAGGAGCTGCTGGGCTCTTCAGCATATGCACCATTATCTGCAGAGAGGAATATAGGTTTAGGAAAACATATGGTGGACATGTATCCGCATCTGTACGTAACTCTGCTCAACATGCTGGTTCTCTTTATGTATTTATGTCACATATTGCTTGCTCCAGCAGAGACATAATACCGAAGATGCTTCCTCCTCCAAACCCCAGGGCAACTCACATCTCAGAAAGCAGCACACTTTCAAAAAGACCAAAAAGAACGGCAAATCTAACAAAGCCAGTTTCACATACGAAACATTTTGTGTCCTGACAGACTTCACCTGGGTAAGGTATTTTTCAGCAATCAGTTTCAAAGCCCTCTTTATGCTTCCTAAGAAATCTCGTGTTATTTTTTTACTACAAAAACAGTAATTTTTTTTGTAGTTTAAGGCCCTACCCAGAAGCATCAGCGTGCCCTGATCCCAAGCTGGAAATGGGAATCTGTTTCAGATTAACGGTGCTAAGGAAGGCGAAAGAGACTTCTCGAGTTGTACAGAGCACCAGCTCCCCCTACGGCCAGTTCACCAGCCAAAAATTCACACCACCTTCACCCATACTTTTTCCAGTACCTTTAGCTGAAACATAATGACAATATGACATTCAGGAAGATTTGTAATATTCTCTAGAAAAATCTAGAAACAACTTCCTACATCTGATGCAACTCTGGAAAGGGCTTTATTTTATCAATTCTGATCCTATGCCATGACTTCCTTACCTGTGCTTTTGGAGTTGTTAAGACAAGATGCTTTTCACTGCCTTGTTTAGCTTGCAATTTCACACAGAGAATGGGGGTTTTTTTGGCATAAAAATATCCTGGTAGCATAAAGATGTAGATATATCATTGGTATTCCTGAGATTCATCACCAGAAAGTGCAAACACCTCCACAGCAAACCAACCAATCTGTGCAAGTGCAGCATCAGTAGTATAACGACATCTGCACTTTGTTTTTTCTGCAGAATTGGTATTAAAGTAGTAAATTGGACTCTTGTAAAAACAAAGTAGTTGCTTACTGTTTGTTTCAACAAAGAAAATTCTAAGTTGAACCCAATATTTACACAAAGCACAGAAGTCTATAATTATTTTAAAATAATAGTGCTTTAAATTCAGTAACATCGCAGATTGCAGGGTAAGGAGGACATATACTAATAAAACTTTAAAAATCCACATATAAGTCTCCATATTAATCTACACAATTATTAAAGGGCTCCTATTCAAGAAAAAAAATAAAGAAAAGCTGACATTTATAAATTAGAGGGGTAAAAGGAGAATCAAAGACATGGATAACTTATGATTAACTACTGCTAATTTAAAGGTCTAGGAGAAAATTTCCTATAAAATCATAGAATGGGTTGGGTTGGAAGGGACCTTAAAGCTCATCCAGTTCCAACCCCCCTGCCATCAGCAGGGACACCTTCCACTAGACCAGGTTGCTCAAAGCCTCATCCAACCTGACCTTCCTAACAAAGATGAAGTCTCGAGAATTTATGTAGTTAGCAGTTTTGGATTTCATTTCTCTTACCAGTTAAAGAATAATAATAGTAATCCTGACATATATAACTGCAGCTGATCACTGTTTTGAGACAGCTTCAAGATACTTTCAGGAAGCACAGTTCATAGACTTCTGGGAGAAAGGGACAACAGTTTTGGAACAAGCAGGTAAACTACACAACAAAATATTACACTTGGTCTTGCAGTGCCACACGGCAATTCCTCACACCAAACCTGTCACATCTTGATATTAATAGACCATTAAATGCTACGAGCTCCCTTCTGCTCTTAGCCCATTCCCCAATTACACAAACGGTGCCTGCAAAGCAAAGCTGCCTACTCGTGACTTGTTCATCTACACAAGCTCAGGTTTTGGTTTAGGTCCATCAGTCGATAGCCCTTTCAGCTACAGAGAAGCATTAAAGTATCGATTAATACAGAACTAGAAACAAAATACATGGTACAAACTAGTTTCTTTGTCTCATGATGCTGAAACACATATTATGGCTTTCTTTTAAGGACATGAGGACAATTATTCAGCACTCAATACCAGTTTTTAACTCAAAAAGAAACTGGAAAAAAGTGCCACTAACAGCAGTAAGTATTTCTTGAGTTCAAATTGCTGAATCTGGAAGTTATCAGCAAACAGTGTTGTCTTAAAATCACAGAACTGTGGAGAAAGGCTAAAAGACAGTATGTCTGAAGGTGCATCTATACTGTCTCTCAACAACAACAAATGGTTTTTGGCCCTCTCCAGCCTTGTCATCACTTGCTTACTAAGGACTTGCAGTATCAGCCTTCAGAGACGACCAAGGCATGTCTGAGGCACATGGACTTCTTCAACTTGGGGTGGAAGACTCACTTCCTGTATAACAGCTCATTTTACAATTTGTCCCATCTTTTTTCTTCAAGCTTTCAGATAGTTTCGTGGCTGAAATCCATGAATTTTTTTTTGTGCCTGGGATGTTATTTAATAATGTATTTTTTCAGATTTTTCATTCAATATGGTAGAATATAAACAGTTACTGAATTTTACTTATTTCTGCTACTGTTTAAATGTCAGTTTAACGTTCTCAAGAGATTCCAGGGGTTTATGGCACATATTTCTAATTTTTGGGCGGTTTTTTGGCAACACTAGGAAAAAGAATTTAGAAATTCCAATGGTTCTGATTGTACTGAAAGTATTTAAAGAATTTGTGGGGCAGGATCTTCTGACTGAAGTTCAGAAACTATATGTAAATTGGAAGCTTGTTTTTATTTTACATAAAACTTTTTGTTTTAGGGAGTATTTTGACGGATACCATTAATTTAACCAAATGTATAAATTTCTGAGAAGTGAGTCTCTGTCTACTCCAGTGATAAACTGAAAGGTTTATCATGCCTATGGAAGAAACACCACCAGATCAGGATACCAACCTGAATTTATCCTGCCACCAGCCAACTTTGTAATTCTATAGTGAGAAACCAAGCCCAGCTGCTACTGCTGTCATTCAAACCTGTCTAACAGGTAGACTGCAGTCTGAAAAACCATAGTGCAATATTAAATTCAAATAAAATGTAGTAAGAAAATAAAACTTACAGGATTTTTTTTCAAGCTTCCGAAGCAAATGTGAGAGAATACATCAGTCATTCCCCTAACAAAAATATGTCCAGTAAATGACAATTTGAAGCGTGCTATCAGGACTGAAAACTAGTTTCAAACACTATATCTGAAAAAACATCCCTGCCCTACCTACACGCCAAATCTTAATAAAACTCCACCTTTTGCTCAGGGGTTTGGGCGACAGGAAACAAACTAACAAAAGAAATAAAACAAAAGACTACAGATTCTTTCCACCACAACAAAAGGCATGTGACTGTTGGCTTGTTCCTGTTGTCTGCCTGGTATTCCATCTGCTTCTCTCTTTCCCAGTGCTAAATAGTTTTCTCTAATGACAAAAAAAAATACAAGTTACTTTAAAAATCACTTCCTATTACCAAAGATTAACAAGCACTAACTTTTAATAGTTAAAACATGAATTATTCTGACTCTACACTATGACGACCATCTGAGAACAAAGAACACAAGCAATGCTTTGCTCTCTATCCCGATTTCTATGTCTCTAAGAAAAAAAGATGACCTTTCATGACATTACTGTGCAGAGTTTCATAACATATGTCTGCTAATTTAACATGTATGCAGAGCAAGGCAAGATGTGAATCCGAACACCATTACAGGAAGTGCCTGCACATGGTTACACTGATGTTTACATAAAAAAATATCATACACAGGTCCTTTAAGGCATAAAATATTGGCACTTTACCTTTAGGATTTACATTAAAAGAGAGATTTGATATAGAGTTTCTTATCATCATTCATTCTTTTCCAAGGTGCTACTTGCCTCATTTTAGTATACACAATAAGCAGCTGCTGCTCCATTTTATTCATGGAAAAAGAGATCAGGAAGAAAGAGATCGCTGTCACTCAGCAGGTGGCCACCAGAAACAACACAAGAAACTTGTCCTCCTAACTCAAAATCTAATGCACAAGAGACTGACCCAGTTTACTCAGCAGTCACAGAAACTGGCTATCAGAACTGTGATGAAGACTATCACCTGAGTATCAACAATTATACCAAATTACCAAATCAACCTGCAGCAGTGTCTTAATTAAACCAATAACTGCAGCATCAGTCCTTCTAGCCTTTTCCCTCAGTCCAAAACTCATTGTTCAACTAGCCAATAGAACAGATCAGCCTCATTACAAGGCAGCAGCCTAGATGAGTCACAGTTTTATTTAAAATTCATCTGCACAATTCCTTACCGTAATTCAGGAGACAAACCTGTATTAGTGGACTATTCTAACTGCAAAACCATCACCTTTGAAATGAAACTTTCCAATAAACATATATTTGTGCAGAACAACCATTTTTGATGGCTAGACAGTCAATGCTTTATTTGGAAAATAAATACAACTCCAGCTGCAACATTTTACAGTAAATAAGTACATCTCAAGACGATAGCACTACTCAAGTACCCACGCAGCATTTCTGGGACAGTTCTTCCGACAGTTCAAACAACATCATTTCTTAAAACCGTATTTGGTACTCAAGGCAGACAAAATATCCCTGTAAGGAGTGTCCGAGTCAGATTTGGTCTTTGGTATGCAACACAGGCGACGGAAGGTCGGAGAACGCAGCAACAGGTTGTGTGACAGTCCCATGAAGCTCGAGGACAGCCAGTACAGCGCCATGGACTGCAACGAGACAAACAGCCAGTTCAGCCGCCCTAGATGCAACAAAAACACTACCATTTTAGGCAGCTCTTTATGAACCACAACCACTGGTTACACCCAATTATAGAGAAAAATCACTCACCTAAAACCATTCCTCTCAATAACAATAATGCCTTCCATTTCAAATGTTATTTTTCACTCTTTCTTAACTCTTCTGAGGGAAAAAAGTCATCTACACTGAAGTTTGCAACTGGTTTGTCCTGGTGTTTAGCTGAGACAGAGCTGGGTTTCTTTTTAGTAGCTAGAATAGTATTTTGAATTCAGCTGGGATTTGCTATGAGAAAAACACTGATAACATACCCATGTTTACATTTTTCACTGGAAGTTGAAGGACTTATTGTTTTTGTTAGTCTACAAGCGCAAGATCTAAGGGGGTGGGGGGACAATTAATATTTAAATTAATAAGCTAAACTGGCATTTAGATATGCCAACAGAATGTTCCATATCGTATAACATCATGGTCAGTATATTAGAGTATATCATGGTCAGTATATCAGAGGGGCTCTTCCTCTCTTGCTCTCTCGGACTTTTGCTTGTGCTCTCATTCTTCTGGGACTGCAGTTTCAGTTCGGGATTGTTGCTCCTCCGTGATCGTTATCCAAGAATAGGTTGGGCTTGGTCAGCGGGTGGTGAGGCATTGCACTGTGCATCACTCATATCCATATTTATTAATTATTATTATTATTACTATCATAATTATTTTTATATCATTATTATTACGTTTTATTTTATTTCAATTTTAAAATTGTTCTTATCACAACCTACAAGTCTCCCCTCCCTCACCCCCAATTCTCTTCCCTATCTCCTGGGCTGGGGCCAGAGTGAGTGAACGGCTGCATTCGCCTGCTAGCCCAGCACTAGCCAAGGGAAACCACCACACATACTCAATTTGCTTAAACTTCCCTATTTCAGACTATAAGTTGATGAGCCAAACAACTTGATAATTCATTTTTGTTAATCTTTGCAAAAATACTCAGAAGTGGAACACCAGGTAAAAATAAGCAGAGTTTTAAGAAGATTGTGGAAAATTACTACTCTAAGAACTACGTTGTTTTCCCCTTACAGTAGGCAAACACTTAGCAAACCTTGGGTTCGTGTCCTTATCTAAAGTTTTCTTCTAATTTCTGAGATCACAAAAAGGATGTTAATCCACTCTGAATGTCCTTCCAAGCCCTAGTTTGCAAAAATGATGTTTAGGAACAGTAAGGTTGCAGATTCTTCCCTCTTGGACAAAAATATTCCAAATCTGTTAAGAATTTAAATGTATATATAGAAAAAACATCTTAATTGTTTTAGGGCACACTGTAACAGAGAGTATAGTCTGTTAAATACACCGGGCATCTGGGCTGCTCTTTAAGCACTGGGAACACACCAGAGTCACAGGTTAACGGATGCACCGTGAAGACTCTGTACTTACAGACGGGACTGTTGCTGCAACAGGGATCATTATTACTGACACCACTCGAAAGAAATTCGTAGCAAGCTTCTGGAACCTGGAAACCTGCGTTTTTTGTGAAGCAAAGATCTGAAAGAGGAGAAACCTACAGTTATAAGCCAGTTTTTTCAAATAACTGAAATGAAAAAAAAAAAAAGGCAACAGTTGGGTTTCCTGTAACCCAGCTCTCTCGTTCACATATTACTTCTGTTTTGCATTCTCTGTTTCAATTAACAGTGCTGCAACTTTTCATTTAACTCGTTTGATGTTTTACATGTTCAGACCTTTGTAGAAATTACTGCACCAATCTAGCAGAGTCCCTAACAATCATTTCAAGGGAACGTAACTTTACACAGTCACTTTTGAACATCCAAAAGTTCCGGTGCCTCAGTCTGAAGCACAGCCCTCTGAGAAAAGGCTGCCAACAGGAAACAGACCAAAACCGGTTGGTAGATAACTGAAGAAAAGCAGAACCAAGTCTGCAGTCAATCACACACTGACTTTTACTCTAAGACAGTCTCAGTCCAAGTGACAGAGAAGAAAACGGAGTCAGAATAAAACCCAGAGGGTTAGAGTTTGACCAGAACACCTAACAGAAAAATCAAGGAGAAAAATATTTCCATTAAATTGCCCCCAAAAAAGGGGAAATGAAGACTTCTATTCTTTTTTTGTTGATTAATCTCTCCAGCAATCTTAAAGAATTCTGGATTTTGTCAATTTATTAAGAAGATCAGATAATATTGTTAGTTTTGGCCATAAGGCAGTGACAAATTATTGGGGTGGAGGCAGGGAAAACAAACTAAAAGATGTCATGTGCTTTTAAATGCCTAACACCCAGGCAGCTCATTAGAACATCACCCTAAGAGAAACTTCAGTGTCAAGACTACATTTTATTGAGGCTCAAGTAAAGTCAACACCCAGGCAGCTCATTAGAACATCACCCTAAGAGAAACTTCAGTGTCAAGACTACATTTTATTGAGGCTCAAGTAAAGTCAATAAAGTATCTGAGACATGTCACTTCAGAATCTGTCATCTCTAAACAGGACACTCCCTCAAATGCACAGAACAATTCAGTTATTTTTCAGTTCTGCCCAACGCATTTAAAGCGGTGATAATCTAAAACTACCCTTACGTTACATGTGTTAGAACTGGGTAATCCTATCTTACAATTCTATAAAAAGAATTATCCTTTTGCAACCATCCTATTTATTCCACCAACCTACCTCCACTATCAGCAAATTCACCAGCCCAAGCGAAACCGGCAAAATCCACGTAGAATCTGGTGCTGTGAGGTCTGTAAACCACAACGTTCCACCTGCTGAAAACTCTTCTTGAACTACAAGAACAGGTTAAAGAAAATACTGAATTAAGCATGATTTCTTACCTCAGGTTAGACAGAACAATACCATTTGTTACAATCAAATCATTCAAGCTTCCAGGTACATTTTATCCAGGTGAGAAATAGTATTAAAGCAGAAATCTTTGGTTTAACATCACACATCAAGGCAGTCTGCTATCAATACAAGTGATAAATGCTGGGAGATACCAGCCGAGATCCACCTTAGCTCAAAACAGCCACTGATTCAAGGAAATTTGTGATAAAAACTACCTTGATCTCAACCATCGTTTTACAAGCCAATGCAACGCAGTAACCTACAGTGAACACAAGTTTTGCGTATCTGAAAAAAATTGTATTGTTCTTAATAACTAGGTAACTTGTTACATTTTTGTTTAGAAGAACAAACTATAAACTCTACTCTAAAAAAAAAAAAATCAAAATATCACTATTTTTATTTAGAAAAACCCCCTATGTTCATCTTGTCTGTAGTTCTTCAGGTGAAACTTCACAAGGAAGGAAAAAAACACAAAACAATAGTGAATGTGCTGTGGCACGAGCAATATTATTTGCTAAAGATACTCACCTTGTGAACCAGAAAAATCCCAAGACAGTTTTTTTTCTCTAGTAACCCTGTCTTCAGAAGACCACAAAATAATTAAAATGCTCACACAGCCTAACTAAATGCCTGACTTTGTTCCCAGAGCTCAGACCCTGATACTGCTTTTAAAGAGGCATCCCACAAAGCTCACAACACCGTTACAAATAATGAGAGTGGATAAGCAGAGATCAGGGATGCTCAGGATGCTGTGAATACCTCCTGGAAGAGTTCAAACCAAAGGAAGTACAGGTGTGGTCCAGACACATGTTCTTTGGTTATATGTACAACGTATCTAATCAAAGGCTTAGAAATCAATTTGTATTTTTATCAGATATTTATCTACACTTAAACTATATTAAGCTTAAAAACTTAACAGTGGAGTAGCTTTTAATTCAGTTTATACATCAAGCTCAGGAGATTGCATTCTTGAACCAACAAAGCATCCGTAAAAACAGTAACCGGGGGAAAAAAAAAAATGAGTATGAAGAGTGTGTCTGTTCAGATTAATCACCTTCCGAGTCCGTGGCCCCAACGCTGCAGTTGCGCAAAGCGAGGGACACGCAAACCCACATGGGAATCTGCACCCACACCAGTAAAGTGGCTCTGAAGGGATGGCAGTTGTCTCGAACGTACAGCTCCGTAACAATCCTCCGGAGGTTTTTCTTAAAATGGAACCTTTTAGAAGGAACAAAAAGCAAAAACAAAACCCACCCCTCTCGCAAGAACTGTTAGAGAGTAACTTCTTGCATTCTGCAATAACACTTCTACGGGCTGTAGATATCAACCTGGCTTATTTAGGTGCAACTCTGGCAAAGCTGAAAGCCTTTTCAAACACGCCTCTCTCCTTTACCAACCCCCTCACAACTTTTAGCCCCATTGCTATAAGCAGCTTTTCACCACAAAATTTCCCACTCTCATTAGCAGCTATCAGAAACGTGTCTGGTACTTTATGCCACGGTGCTTTCTGTCCCAACTAGGATGTAACTGGCTCAATACAGAGGCAAATCAGCCAGTTACATGATCCTCAGGGACCCAGCTTAGACCTACTGCTGCTGTATGGGGTGTGGTCCTACACTAGCAAATGAACAGGACCACAACCATTCCAGCCTCAAGTTCCCAGCAGTATTTAGATCCCATCTAGCTAAGGATGGATGATGGATGATCCTTCAGCCCCAAGGAAAGGCAACAAAACCCCCACAGTATTTAGATCCCATATAGCTAAGGAAACTTCAGCCCCAAGGAAAGGCAACAAAACCCCCCTGGATTTGCCTCTGTAATTGTATGTCTAACACAAGTTCAGAGCTTTGAAATGGATACATTCCAAAGAATAATATAACAAACACAAGTAAGCTGTAGAAGTGGTAAGAAAATTTAAGATTTGGGCAACAGCAGAATCTCTGTAAGACATTTGTTTGTAGGACCTTCCCTTCTGCCACCCCTCAACGTGGAATGGATTTATAAGGTATATACAACCACCATCTTACCTGGCCACCTTTTCAGACCAACCCAGTTGCTTTCCACGAACAGAAACTTCATAGCGAAGACGCTCAGCTAGTTTTTTAATCTCAGGCTGCAAATTTTCCAACTAGCTGAAGAAAAGGAAAAGTGTTTATACACAGTTACATGTAACAACCACTTCTTCTCCCCACCTGATACCGTACAGGCATTAAAAACGACTGTGAAGGACAAGGCATACATCTGTGAACACCTTTTATCTTTAAACAAAATAACCAAGTGAAGATACTAGTGAGAAGTATTTACAGTAACCAAAGATACTAACTTACTGCTAAATGAAATAAATACAGAATCAGATTTCATATTTTGTTCTTAATAAGCATCTTCTTGTCTTCACTCAAGAACTGCAACCAGCTACTTTACTTAACAAAACAACCTTTAATGCCACTTCAAAAAGATTTAAAGCGCAATATACAACTTTGCAGTCACCACAGTTACTATCCTGAAGAGACCCCCGTTATCAAAAACTGCAATATAATAATCTTATTTGCAATCAAAAGAAGAGGAAAAATGATCACTGCTGTTAAAAAACCAACTAAACAAAAAACAACAACAAAGAAACAAAAACACCCACCCAAACACGCTGCAATACAATACTTAAATTATTTTTCTTCTGCAATAACGCTCTTGAGAGTGACAGTCACTGAAGAACCTCATCCGAGAAACACACCTGCATTTACCAATCTGACCTTTACACAGGTGAAGTACCCAGATCCAGTTAATTCCAAATTAGACTTGAGCTCTGTCAGCTGTGAAGCCCCACCCTAAAGTCCTCCTTAGTTGGTAAAGAAAGGGCACAAAGAAGGCAGAACAACCCTACTTCACAGCACAGCGCTGCAAAGGCTCCTTCACCAGTGCAGGCACAGCATAAAACCTCTTTAGTAACTTCAACTGTTACCCTCATTTTTGAAGGAAAGAAAAGAAAAAAAAGAGGTATTTAGAATTTTAGTTTCCTTCAGGTGGTTATTGGAATAGTTTTAGCAAGAGCATTAATACAGCAAATCACAGAAAGTACCTTGCATGTGCCACGGTCAGAGAGTCACTTCACACGAAAACAACTCGATTTCTAAGTTGTTACCACAAAAAAAGCACATTCCTATTTTTCAGTGTGATTTAGACTTCACATGTCCGAGAAAGAACCCTGGCAGGTTACAGCCAGACAAAAACCTCCCCTCAGCTGCGGCGCCACACGAGGCCCTCAGGCAGCACACGGAGAACCCCGGCCAAGGGGGAAACTGCGGCCCAATATCACCACAGGACAGCAGCTTTTGTGGGAAGGTATCAGCATAGCACGAAACACCCCTTCTTTGTGGCAAACCGCCGCCCTC